GATCAGTGACTGATATTGTGCTACTTTATTATAAAGACCTTTGCTTGTTATAGGAAAAAGTTTGTACATTGCATTGAACAGAGTTAAGGTTTTTGCCATAAAGTGTTTGCGTGTTTCTAAGTAGCAACAACAGCAGCAACAGCAATGACTGACGGTATGTCTTTTAGCAATGGTTGGTTCCTCGTTCTAGAAGGAAGCATGAGAGGCTGTTGCTGTCTTCTCTCTTCTCCTTTCAACTGGCAAGAAAAATAACCTAATCTAAGTGGATTTAAAAATGAGGAAATGCATGCTCTTGCAGAATGGGAGTGCCAGGCCCAGAGGAAGAGCAGGCTTGTGGTGGCAGCTACAAGAGGTCACTTGGGACTCAGGCTCTTTCTGTCTTCTGTCCCCAGGACAAGCATCACTCTAAGGTGTCCCCATGCCATAAAGATGTCTGACAGTAGCAGCTGGGCAGCCTGCTTCCTTGTTCATGGCCTGTGGGGCCCCTGGGTGTGTTTCTGGAAATACCAGGGGAACTTCCCCCAGAGGCCTCCCCGGCACCTTTCTCTCCATGTCTTTTCCCAACCCAGCCACTGCCAGAGGGGTTGGAGGTAGCTTCATGGGCCCAGCGTAACCATCTGAAGATGAACAGGAGCTGGAGAGTCAACCACATGCCCTTCTATACCCCCAGATTTATAGCTTACCCTTTTTTGGTGGGCAAAATAATGGCACCCAAAAGATGTCCATGTTCCTAATCCCCAGAGCCTGTGACTATTATACATGGCAAAAGGGGACTCTACAGGTGTGGTTACTTTAAGGGTCTTGACACAAGTTATCCTGGATGACCCAGGTGGGTTCTTATAAGAAGGAGGCAGGAGAGTCAGAGCCAGAGACAGATGGAAGAAAAGAAGCAGAGGCCATTGAGGAGAAAGGGTGCTTCACCTCTTGCTTTGAAGATGAAGGAAGGGGCCACAAGCCAAGGAATGCAGGTAGCTGCTAGTAGCTGGAAAGGGCAAGGAAACAGATCCTCCCCAGAGCCTCCAGAAGGAATGCAGCCCTGCCAGTACCTGATCTTAGCTTAGTGAAACTGATTTTGGACTTCTGACTTTCAGAAATTTAAGATAATAAATAATAAATTTGTGTTATTTTAAGCCACTAAGTTTGTGGTACTTCAGTACCAATAGAACACTAATACAGCATTGTTTCTCTAGGCTACCTTGACTCTATATAGACCTTTTCTAAGATTAAGCATCTTATATTTATTTTGCATCTTTTATTTGTGCACATAGAAGATGTGTTAATCCACAAGTATTTATGGATAATAGAAGACAAACCCAGTCTCTGGTAGTGCTAGGCTGGTGATTTGCTCTCAAAATGGCAAATGTTGGTTCCTTCATTCAACACTAGTGCTGGGTGCTGGAAATACAGAAGTAAGAATTTTCCTTACTCCCAAGCTGCTGAGTGTGCCTCAACCAGCCATTCGATTCCATAAATATTCTCATTGTCAAATTAGAGCTCTTCCAGATGTCGGCTCTGTCTTTGTAGCTCAAGCCAGTTTCCTCTGAAGCTTATTCAAACCTGCTGATTTTTTTTTTTTTAATTCTAGCAAGGGTTAGGGAGAGCAGAAGATGTTCAAGCACTTCCACAGATAGGTCTATTTTTAGGGTGCCCCATGTTGCCGAGATCAGCAATAATTCTGGCTGAGTCCTGGGGTCCACAGAGGATGTCATCTGGCTCCTGCCCTCGTGCCAGTTGGACAGAGGCACTGCTGTTTGGAAGTTTTCTTTGTGGTTCTTTATTTCCTCTCCTCTCTACGGCTTGCTGTTCCGCAGAGGCACAGCGGTAGAGCCCTTGCATTATGTTTAGAAACTTCTTGTTATATTGTACCATAGTCCAGCCATTACCGAGAAGGCTTGGGCTTTCTTGAGGGTGATAAATGACCAGTGACAATCTATGGAAAATATCTGGGAAGGCGACAGAAATAATGGGGCAGAGAAACGGAGTTGGGGAACTGACCTTTGAGGTGATCCTTTCCAACCTCATACTTCTGTTTTGAGGAAATCTAGGCATAGGTTATCCACGAAGCGGCTCACCATCCCTGAGCTCTTTGCAGCAGCTTAACAAGGATGGGGCTCAATCCCTGGGGTACCAATTAGGCAGTGCTAGGTGCAGGAACCAAAATTTGAGAGCTGGCTATAAAGTGCTAACCCCCACAGCAGTGCGCAGACAGGCAGGTTTGGCGTAGTGTTCCTTCTAGGCCCTCATCTCTGCTGCTTGCCGTCTCCCTTTGTCTGGAATAAGCGCCATATAGCTGAGTGGATACATGCACAGACTGGAGATTTGGCTGGGTTTGAGTTCCACTTGCCGGCAGTGTAAACCTTGGACAAATTACTCGAGGCACTTCCGTCTATGCAATGGGATGATCACAGTACCAACATGCCTGGGAGTGTTGTGATGATGAAATGAGTTAATGTGTGCAGAGTGCTCATACCGGAGCCCTGCACGTCCTAAGCACTCTACAAGTCGCTTGTCGAAAGACCTGCATGACCTTAAGCATTGTTCATTGTTCTCCAACATTTTAAATGACCGCTTGCTATTCTACTGCGTGGCTGTGTTCTATGGTTGATTGAACTAGAGCCCTGTAGTGGGATTTTGTTTCCGGTTTTCCAGTGTTGCAAACAACATTGTGATGACTGCCCTCATAGGTAAGGACTTGCTCTCATCTTTAATTATTTCCTCAGGTTAAATTTCTAGGATTAGAATTGCAGGGTCAAAGAGGGTGCATATTTTGAAGGCTTTTCTTGATGGCCACTGCTAAGTGCTCCTCTAGGAAAGTACTAGTTTGCACTCCTACCAGCAGTGAATAAATGTGCCAATTTCCTTGTGTGGCCAGGTTATTAACTTTTAATCAAATGAAGGCCCAGGAAAAATAGGCGATATTTCCCTAAGGATAAAGCGTTCTTCGTTCTTGCTTATAAGCAATAAAAACTCAAGAGAACTTGGAGAGAGCCCAGGCCGTGCGTGGAGTATGTGGAAACAGCACCCTCTGCTGGCTCTGCCTGGTGGAGCGGTGTGAGTTGTGCTAAATAGTGATGCTGAGATGGTCACAGTATCTGTCCCCTGACCCTTGGGGTGCAGGTGCCAGGAGCCAAAGGGCAACATTTTTAAAAGTCTTCTGGCCATTTAAAAAGTCAGACTCTGGTAACATTTAGTTCTTGATCAGGTTCTTTTACAGCAGTAGTTCTCAACAGGGAATGACTTTGCCTCCCGGGGAACAGTTGGTACTATCTGGAGAGGTTTTTGAATGTCACAAATCTGGGGGTGGGGAATAGGGAGCCTACTATTGAATTCCGCTGGGTGGAGGCCCAGGAAGCTGCTAAACATCCTACAATGCACAGGACATCCCAATAGCAAAGACTCCTCAGCCCAGGATGTCCATAGTGTTTAGAAAAACCCTGTTTTAGAGAAATGGAAGAATTATCCTGAGAAGATTTCTATTTTCAGACTAAAATAAAATATAGAAATATTAATGTATCTGTAATATGCTGTGATTGTTATTTGGATGTAGGAACATATGGGTTTTGCAGAATAAAGTGGAAAACAGGTGGAAATGAAACAACAAATGTGCATTTCTACAAGAGAGGGCAGAGGAAAACACAACCCATAATAATGTCACAAGTATTACTATGAGAGCGAATTTTTTTTTTCGTTAACTTGACATGGTTAGACCTGCCACAAATTCCTGTGCCTTTCCCTTAAAGGCTTTGTCTGTTAAAAATAGTGCTTTATTTGACACTTTCCCCAATTTCACAAGCTCCAGTGTTTTCGTAACATTTATAATTGCACCTTCCAGTGTTCAGTGAGGAATTACCATCTGTGGTTACAATTTGCTCCCCCACCATGCTCCAGTAAATGCTGATTCAAGCATTGTTTCCAAAAAGGGGAAGGAAGGGAAGAAATTCAAAAATAATCTTAGAGAAGGGTGTGCCTGAAAGGAAAAGTATGATGAGAATTCCGGGAAACTCAAAACTGTGCTGTAACTTGCTTTGACATTTGCTGAGCTTAAAAGATTTCTTTCACTGGTGTTACTCAAACCTGTTTTTAAAGTCTTCTATTGGCCAGGCATGGTGGTTCATGCCTGTAATCCTAGTACTTTGGGAAGCTGAGGCAGGAGGATTGCTTGGGTCAGGAGTTCAAGATCAGCCTGAACAACATAGCAAGACCCTGTTTCTACCGAAAAAAAAAAAAAAAAAAAAGGTAGCTGGGCATGGTGTTGCATACCTGTTGTCCTAGCTACTCAGGAGGCTGAAATGGGAGGATTACTTGAGCCCAGGAGCTTGAAGTTGCAGTGAGCTCTGATCACGCCACTGCCCTCATGTCTGGGCAACAAGTGAGACGTGGTCTCCAAAAAAAAAAACAAAAAAACAAAACAAAATGAAACATGTCTTTTATTATTTCATTTTGCTTTATTTCATTTTCCTTCATTTATCATTTCACTTTGCTATTCTCCAAATTACTTGCATTCTAGAATATGCATCTTGATATAATTAGCTAGAGTGGTCTCCTTAGCTATTCTAAATAATGCTAAGAGGATTATTTTGTCAGAGGTGGAGAAAAAAAACCCTGCAGCTTTCCCCTGCACATCAGATACTATTTTGGTCATCTTTCATAAGAAGTATTTTTCAAGCTACAGGTCATGACTAATGAGTTGTAAAGTCAATTTCTGGAAACCAGCATTCCACAACCAGCATTACAAAAAACAAAACATCAGATAGAATGGAAATACCAAAGAGTATCATATATAGTGAGAGTAACCTGAGTTTGGTGATGTACAGATATGTCGTTGTACATATACATATGTTAATGTGTGTTACACATATGTGCATGGTGAGCAGTTTTAAAAGGCAGTGGCTTAGCTTTTACAGTGTGGTGAGATCTGACTTGTTTTTAAACTTCTCTAAAGATCTCAGGGATTCCTACTTGTCCCCCATCCCTCAACTTTGCCTCTGTTGCTTTTTCAGGTGGTACCCGGGAAATCGGATCCGCTCTCACCAGGATGTGCATGCGGCATAGAAGCATAGAAGCCAAGCTGAGGCAGTTTTCGAGGTGAGGAGCACGTTTCACCCCAGTCTCCGGTGCCCTTGCTGAGTTCAGGTTAAGGAAGCAGTGATACTCGGCGTAACTCACCCTGAGAGGCACTGGCGTCCCACAGGATCCAAATCCCACGGCCTGTCTTTTTTCTGCCTCTGTTGATTCATCAGATGTATATGTGTTGGGCACCCGCTGCATCCCAGGCACTGGTCTGGGCACTGGGGGTGCAGCAGAGAAGCAGACAGCCACCTCCTTGGCCCCGTGGAGCCTACGCTCTCCTTTGGATCTTCTCTGTGCACCTGCGTGGGTCTCTCCTCACCTTCCAGCAGTGTGAGGAGCTGGTCCTCCCACTGGGGCCCCCGCCACCCCGCAGGAGCCTGTTAGAAGAGGGGCTGCAGGCTTTAGAGGGTGATGTGTGCCATGCTGCCCCGTCCCCAGGCCCTGTGTGCTTCCTCCGGACCCACTGAGAGGGCTATGGCAGCTCCTAGAACCTTCCACACTGCCAGCTTCCTGTCAGCCTGCCACCTCCCAGAATGGGGGGGATAGCAGTGGCTGGTTCCAGGATTTAGAGTCACCAATGTTCAAGTGAAAATGGACCTTCTTTCCCACGCAGATCAGCAATGCATGTATCAGTTTCACGCAGTTCCGTTTGGGAGACTGCACAAAATGAAGGGGTGAACCCTGAGATCTCTTCACTCCTCAGTGATCTAGGAGTGGGCAATGCAGCTTGAGAATTTCCCGGGTGTCTCCTTTTTGTTCTCCAGGCTGTGCACGATGAGTGCACATTTATGACTTAGAATTCTGCACGCACATCAGAGCCTTGTGAGTCTTTTTGAAAAATAGTAATGATAGGGCCCCACTTGCAAAGTCTCCATACTCCACCTGGGAAAGGCCCAGGTGTCTTTGCCTTTTGGTGGCTCCTATTGTACAGCCAGAGGCATGACCCCCATGGTTCTCCAACTTGGTTTGTTAATACAAGCACCGGAGTAGTCACACTGACAGCTTCTCAACGGTCACTGAAAAGTGTTCTGAGAACAAGGCTGCTGCAAAGCTGGCGGCTTTAGATAAGGAACATCGGCTTGTTACGCTGCCTTGTCTTGCTTCGGGTAATTGTGATTTAGGTTTGTTTTGACAACCATATGTAAAGCTCGACAACAGAATGCATCTGTTTAATTTCTCTTTTTCTTTCCCGTGTGGTAAAAGTGCTTTAATTGATTGTCTGATAAACCCACTTCAAGAACAGATGGAAGAATGGAAGAAAGTGGCCAACCAGCTGGATAAAGACCACGCAAAAGGTACAGGGGCAAGATGTCCGACGCATCGTCACACTCTGGGAAGTGCTGTGGGAAGGTGCCGGTTGCCGTGTGGCCACCTGCCGGGTTTACTGGTTCACCTGAACAGCTGAGGGCCCACTCGGTCCCCACTGCTCCTGTAGGCACTTCCACGGCAGGATGAGGACGGCAAAGTGATGTCTTCGCAGGACTGAGTGTTGGCATGAACCGCCACTCAGCAGCTGATCGCCCAGTGCAATTGGTTGTGTTCAGCTGAATTAAAAGGGAATTGTAATGACAGGTTTAAGTGCCAAACATTCATACATAAGGCATTTCAGCATATTTTGAAAGCATATCAGCCTACCCTGGGTCTCCTGCCCAGAACTGGCTGTTCTCTTTGTGTATTGTCTTGAGTAGGTGAGACAAGTCTTTGTGAACTGGTTTAGTTAGTTGTCGGGGACCTCGATGGTTGGTATGAGAAGGAACTAGGTGTAACCTGCGCAGGAAAAAGCACTGATACTCTCAAGTGAGTGCTTTGTGTTCCCTTTACGTAGGCCAGCGAGACTGCATGGTAAGAAGTTCCCATCCCCTGTGCAGGTCATTCTGATGTTTTTTACATACTAGGTGCTGTGGGGGCTCCAGAAAGATGAGTGTAGTATCTACTAATACAGGAATAAACTAGCACTATTGCAAAGCAAAGTAACATAAAGGCTACAGTGAAGACCCAACAAGATGCTCTGGGAATGGGAACGGACCACGTGCTGTGGTTTCAGAAACAGGCCTCTTTCTGACCATGGAGATGGCTGACTCTGCCTGCTCCGGGCTATGTAATGAAAACGATTTCATGTCCCCAGCAGCCGTCAGTGGCCACTGGGGGTTGTATGTTCCTTCAAATCTCTGATCCCTCCTCTCGTGTCCGTACCTCCAGCTACTTACTGAGTACTTACTGTGTTCCATGCCTGTGCACTCTCTTGGGCCACAAAAATAAATAAGTTGGTCTTGCTTTTTGGTGCATGTCCTTTGACATTTGTTAACCACAGTTAATAGGCTCTTGTAGTTATGTCTTTGGTGTTATTGGAAATCAGTCTTATGTAGAACTTCAGTCAACCACTTTAATAAAAGAACCAGGAATGGTGATAACTTATGTTGAGGTTCAGAAGTAGGGGTGTAGTAGCCAAATATTTAGCAATCTTATTAAAAAGTTAATATAAAATCTTTTATTCCTCCTACCTTAACTTGAAATTAGGGAGAGAGGCAAATTCAAAGGATTGACTGCCCATCATGTATTTATCAGGTCTTGGGTTGTCTTCTCGTATGTTCACTGGATTTATCCATTTGTACTTTTCATTTGATAAAAGAAAAATAGAAACATTTGAATTTTTTTTCAGTGGGGAAAGAGTTGACAGTTTACATTTGGCCCAATTAACTTTGTTCATGTTATGTTTTTATTAAATGTCACCATTTGGTAGTGCAGCAAAGCCGATTTTATAGCAAGGACTTCAAAATTGGATGTGTAAACCTTTTTATAAGAGTGGTGCTGAGCTTGTGGGGAGAAAGCAGCAGGTCTCTCAGAGAGCCCTGCTCAATCTCTACTCATCCAATAAAACAAAGGTCCCTTGATTTTAATGGAAATTCTCCCCTCCCTCTCATCCCAAGTGCACACAGAGAAACACTTCTCGGTTTTTTCCTTAGGTCTCATAGACAGAGACTAAGACAGAGCCTATGTCTGAATTGAATTTAGACCCCCTGTCAGGCTCTGCACACCTGCTAAGTGGCCTCTCGCTGGTCAGAGGCCCAGAGGTCACGAGGGTACAGAGCATCTGGCCCCCAGCCTGTGTGACAGAGCTCATCCTTCATCTTTTTAAGTCAGCCTTAACTCCGTGAGCATGTGCCAGGTGGCAGCCACACACGACCCACCCTGCTGGAATGCAGAAGATGTGGAGTGAGAAAGATAGGATGCCCCAGAAGCCAAAGGTAGAGGAGCGCACGTTTGGTTGAGGAATTAGAAAACGAGGTGCTGTTTGCAGGGATCCTGATGGATGGACATGGTTTCGTCACACTGAATTTGGGGCAGTGGGAGGTGTCCTAGCCAGAGGGAGAACCATGCAGAGAGGCAGGGAAGATGGAGAGTGGCCGTAAAAGAGCAAAAAGCTGTCCTCAGTGGGCTTCTTCAGTCCATCCTGCAAACACTTTGTGTGCCAATGTGAGGGAGTCTGGGAATTGGCCATGGGAATGGTGGCCGGGATATGGCATGTGTTTTTGTGTTTTTTTTGACAGAGTCTCACTTTGTTGTCCAGGCTAGAATGAGTGCCGTGGCATCAGCCTAGCTCACAGCAACCTCAAACTCCTGGGCTCAAGCAATCCTGCTGCCTCAGCCTCTTGATTAGCTGGGACTACAGGCATGTGCCACCATGCCCGGCTAATTTTTTACTTATATATTTTTAGTTGGTCAATTAATTTCTTTTTATTTATAGTAGAGACGGGGTCTCGCTCAGGCTGGTTTTGAACTCCTGACCTTGAGCAATCTGCCCGCCTCGGCCTCCGAGTGCTAGGATTACAGGTGTGAGCCACCACGCCTGGCCTGGCATGTGTTTTTGAACAGGGAAGTGACATGAACAGAGCTGTGCTTTAGGGGAAACTATTCTGGCCACGGTTTGTTTATGCCGTCCACAAACGTGTCTCTGTGCCTTACGTGCCAGGCTTTGTGCTGGACTCCGGGGACTCCCTGGTCCAGACCGACATGACCCCATCTTCATGGAGCCAGAGGTTGGGGGTGCTGGTGGCGTGGCAAGGACAGGAAACATCACGCCACGTTTCCCACGACCTGCAGTAGATGGAAGGGAGAGAAAGCATGCGGGTAGAGCTAAAGGGGAGAAACTGCAGAGAGAGGAGGGATTGGCCGAAAGGCAATTGCAAGAGCATATCAGTGAGTGCTCTGACAGGCTTAGGGCCAACAGAAGGGAAACACCAGGGCTGGTGCAAGGTCAAGGTAAAATATACAGCAGCTGGCAATTCATTGACTGTGAGGGCAGCGAAGGAGAGAACTGTCAGAGGCAACTGTCATCGCAGGTGTCTGTGTGTGGATCCGGTGATGCCAACAACAGGAATGGGGAGGTTTGGGCAGGGGCAGGTGGGGGAGAGGGAGCGGCTGCCAGGGGACGCAGTGCTCGTGGACTGTCCCCCTTGGTGTCCACAGTGTCTGGCTGCAGGATTGATGGCGAAAGTGAGGCAGCTGGGGCTTGCCCAGTTTTTACCCCTTGTGACCCAGTTTCTCCTGCTGTGGTCTGAGACTCTCTTTTCTGAATTGTAACATCTGGCCAGCATCTTCTCCACATGGGGTTCTTTTTTGAGCAAAGTCCTATGGATTTGGGCCTTAGGGTAGTAGATAATATTGAAAATCTTTCCTGATATTTGAGCTGAGAAATCGTGGAATTTGTTTGTTTGTTTGTTTTCATTAAAATAATCCCACATCAAGTCTTTTCTCAAAGCTGATGTGAATTAATATGATAGAGAAAGACCATAGTGTGTTTTGTTGTTTTCCATGTTAATAGCCTCTTGGTTGTAGAATGTCATTGTGAGATTTTTAGCATTTCGTATTCCAGTAAACTCATTTACTGCTTGTCACAGTTTATACTTTCTGTGATGAAGGTAATGGCTGTTTCTAAAATATTTTCTGTTGAGCAAAATGGTAAAATTATTTAATATTCTACTTTCTCTTAGAATATAAAAAAGCCCGCCAGGAGATAAAAAAGAAGTCCTCAGATACGCTGAAACTGCAGAAGAAAGCAAAAAAAGGTAACTCCTGAAATTATGCTAGTGATGTTGTTCTTAATACTTTGAGAAAAAAATGAATGTGTGCTTGATTTGTCTTTGAAGCAGAAGGTTTTGAATTTGTAGACTTCCTTATGTCTGAAGGACATGAGAACAGGTAGAAGCTGATAGAACCTATCTGAGTTAAAGTTTTCAAAGTGCAGAATATGCATTAAGTCGAAGCCCTTGCAAAGTAGAACTTGACTTGTTCCTTCCCCCACCTTTGTCTTCCAAGTTTGACAGTTTTTCCATGCCTATTGTGCTTTGTAATGAAACCTATAAATTTCTTGGATGCCTTGGGATAATGCAGAAAAGCTTTTATGCAAATGTTCTATAGTAATTATTATAGAAATTATGTTGTTTTCTCCTCCAACTTTCACAGCCTATAATCTCTGAAACCTTTTATTAAGTCTTGTGAGGATGTTAGAAATGGCTTTGGGGGGGGGAACCGGGAGTCATTGCTATATATGGGGGGGTTTCATGGTGTTCATGAAGGCAGAGCTCGATTATTCACTGCTAGGAAAACCAGGTTGGTGCAAGATGCCCCTCCTCCCTGTTTATCATCAGTCACAAACCAATGAACTGCCAGATCCTTGTCCCACCTTTGTTCCTCCAGAAGGGACTGGGAGTTTGAAGAGAAAAATCTAGCCACATCCACTTTGCAAGTATTCATAACATTTCACTAATACCTAAAATGTAGGGACTTTCCCTTGAGCTAGAAGGGGTGACATTCCTTCCAGATTATTCTTGATGTTCCCAAGTGTTGTTTTGTTTTTTTTTCCTTTTTTTTCCTGAATGTTCCTTGCCAATTTCCAAGTATTTTAATCTGCTGCATTGCAGCTGATAAAATGGGCTTTTCCTATCAGGCTGCTCTGGGGGCAGGACAGCAACCTTTTCAGATAGAGATCCCCCAAGCCAACTTTCTTCTTTCCTAAACGAGCAGTTCTCATTTGGAATTAAAAGCAAATGTGTTTGGAGAGAGACGGAATGGCGGAGAGCAGTGTGGCAGGTGGGGGGGTGGGTGATGACAGGACAACATTTTTAAGCTTTGACATTTCTGAAAAATGCCCCCCCCAATTCTCACAAAAACCATAAACCCATCTCAAGCTAAGTAAAGGCAGCAGAATTTTCACCTGCAATCAGATTTTCTGTCTGTGTTGGCCCCAACAGCTTCTTTTGGATGTGGTTTTTTGTTTTTTTTTTGGTCTGGTGCTTCTCCAGTTTATATTCTATCTAACTAGGGCACCCAGGAGCTAGTGTTTGACAAGCAATAGGGTTTGTGGCCAGTAACATTTAGTGAGTCTAGAGGTTTATAAATGAAATTGCTACCATATCCCATCCAATCTGAGGCCCCACGAGGAGCAGACTGGTCGAAATTTGCTGCTAAAGTCCACCTAATTGACAATTTGGCAGCTTTGAGATAGGAGGGATTAATGGGCTTGGAGAGATGGTCCGGGGAAGATGGCTGGGCTTGGAAAAGGTTTGGGAGTTTGGTGAAAAGAATGAGGTGAGAAAAAGTAGCTGTTTTCCCTCGGCTCCCCTGGAGTTCTCTTTTCAGAGGCCTTAAGTTCTTGGCTGCAGTGACGATCCTTTTATCTAAATTCTGCACGGAGGCTGAAACAGTCCCCGTCTGTCACTCAAAGTCACTGGCGTTGTCCAATTAGTAGAATTGGGACCTCTGGGTGATTGCAGCGCAACATAAAAGGAAGCTTCTGGCAGCCAGCTCTGCCCAGCACCGGCTCAGGCTGCCGACAGGGTAACGAGCTCCCCCGTCAAGGCCGGATGGGAGGATTCGGAGCCCGCAGGGTGCTGGACTGCATCTAGCATGAAGAGACGCTTCTGGCCCTGGGACTTGGGAATAATTGGCGTTTAGTTGTGAGGTTTCTTGGGGCTCCTGGGCCTGAGGGCTGGAGCATGGAGGCTGTGATCAAGGGTTCCCCAAGCCTCTGTCTTCCCAGCCCCAGCCTCGCATTGCAGTCTCAGGCACCATGTCCTTTCCACACGGTGTACTTATGCCTCCAGGATCAGTCAGATCAGTAGCTTGGAATGTTCTGGAGATTTTCTAGTTATTTCAACATACAACCAGAAAACAATTTTTATTTTTGTCCTTTACAAACAATTTTTTTCTAAAATATAAGTGGGTTTTGGGGGCTAGGTGCTTATATTTGTGTATTTCAGGGGTGACTGTGGCCTTCTAGAATGTACCAGAGTCATTATTCTGATTGGACTCTCATTATAGAGCGCTCTCCTTGGAAGGCATATGGCCTGAGAATGGACAGAAACCACCACGATTTAAGGGCTGGACGAAATCTGGTTATTTGAGGCTTTCATTTGTTTGGGGTCTGGTTAGTTGAAGTTCCCCTTTCAGCTGAAGAACCTCTTGAGGCATCTGTTTCATCTCCTTCAAGTGGCAAGGTCCTGGTCTCTTGGCTTATACGAGTGTCAGTATGTTTCTTCTGAGATTTACAGCATGTATTAGGGTGGATGATGGCTTTGGATACATTTTTTCGTGTCCTGATAAAACTGAATCTGATTTACGCAGCCAGATAATCACTTCCTTTTTAATACATTTTTAGATTATCAAGCAGCTTTCTGCCATGCCTGTTATAAAAACTGTGATCTTGATCTAAAAATTCTTCCAACTCTCGTTTTCAAAATTCCAAATGCCTTTGTGCATGTGGACATGGTTTTAGCACTGTGCTTGGCGTGGGCAGGCACATACAGGGTGTGATTTTTGTGAGCAGCTCATTTACCTTACTTCTTACTCTGCACGTATCACCTTTGATCACATTCTTTATTTGATTCTTTTTTTTTTTACTATAAAGAGAGGTCATTCGTAATCTAAAGGTATTTAAATATTTTCATCCACAAAACTTTGAATGGTTTGCTTCTTATTAGGTTTTATCTCAAAATCATTATAAAGCAACTTGGGATCTGCTGCAGCTATGGGTGAATGTGCCTGTTTCTCTTGAAGGCAGGCTTGTTGGATGCCTTCGAGGAGTGAACTCGAGGCAGGGAGTTGGGGGCTGGAGAGACAGTCCCCCCTCAGAGAAGTTCTGGCTAGGGCACAGGGTTAAGGGCACAGGGTCAAGGTCAAGGGGAGAGACAGAGGCAGCAGGATGCTGGGGGAATGGTGTGCAGCTGACCCAGTAGCCCCAGGCTCTGAATGGGTGTCTGACCTCATCCTGCTGCATAATGTCAGCTCATTGATGTTGGGGTCCTGGAGCTGGCCGTGTCCCAACTAGGGAAGGAAGAGAGGATCAGAAACGAGAGACATTGTACCTTATTTACCCACCTTTGCCACCTTCCTGTACGAAGTCAGCAGCCTTCTCATTTAACTCCCATATTGTTAATTAATTTAAGTGGAAAATATGGCAAAGCCTTCTGTTACTATCTGTAACTACTAAAGGTTTATCAGGGATTATTGTTTTATAATGATGGCTAGTATTTATTAGATGCTTATCATGGCCATTGTCCCACTTACTACCATTATGTCATTAAATCCTAAGACATCTTTGATTTCTTTTTTTAAGACAGCATTTCACTGTATTGCCTAGGCTGGTCTTGAGCTCCTGGGCCCAGGCAATCCTCTTGGCTTAGCCTCCTAAGTAGCTGGATTACAGGTTCATACCACTGTACCCAGCAGGGACTGAGGGTGAGAAACAGGACATCATTATATGTTAACCATTGAGCTGACATTTAAATAGTGAATATGTCATTTTTCACTAGAGACTGCAAAACCAATGTTATAAACATCATATACAGACTCACAGAGTTCTACACGAGCATAGTATTTTCTGTTACACTGAAATTTTAAGTTTGGTAGCTTTTTTTCATTCTCACCCCATCTAAACTTCATTTCCTAGGATTTCCTAGATATTTTTCAAGTTATGATAAATTATACTTGAAAGGTTTTCTTGTTCAAGCATCTGAATGAGCTTCTTCTGGGTATAATATTCTTCATCTCTTTAAAAAAAAAATCCTTGCTGTACTCTGTAGGGGAGGTAACTACTACCTAGAAAGATTTCTGTTTAGATGAGAAGGAACAAATGTTAGTAAGGCAGGAAAGGGGAACCTGGTGAATGTTGGTTTAATCAGCCCTAATATAAAAAATCTGGTGGTGAGCCACGGACTGTTTAACGCTGGAAGCAAAGGTAAGATTGGTGCTGCTCGAATACCGGTTTGACTTTATTATTTTCCTTTTTGTGTCAATTGTGTATCCTGCACTTTCTCACCGTGCGCCACCCCCGCCAGTGGACGCTCTCGGTAAGTCTACCATCCCGATCTCTGGTGGCTGGTCACGGTGTGGTCCTTGCTGTGGGCTTTCCGTGGTTGTCCAGACCTATGCTAGTTGCCCAAGTTTTCCTACCAGCTCAGAACTACCAATTGTGCCTACTTAATTTTCCATAATTTAAGAAAATTGTGTGTGCGTGTGTTTTAATCATTTTCTTTCTTGGATGTTTGGCCATCTAAAGTGTTAGCACGACATTCTGGGAGCCTTTGCATCGTCATAATTCAATAGTAGACTCTTGGAAAAAAGAAATACAGAGTGATTTAAACCATCCTTTCTATAGGAAATACACATTTATACATACATATATGTCTGAGTGTATATGTATGTGTGTATTTATGCCACAAACAAAACGTAGAGCTACACACCTTAAAATCATTTTCAAATTGGATTTAGTTGTATTAAGCTTGCAAAAAAACATCTTTAACTTTGTTCCTCTGGACCATATAGTTCTTTTCAAAACCAATAATTCATTTTTCAAAAAAGATCAAAAGTATTTCTTATTTCAGTAGAGTTTGTGAAATGTTTCATTTCAGAGATATCAGATCTTCAAATTCAATGCTCTAAATGATTCTTCTTGATTGAATGTTGAGCCTCACTCTGTGGGTGATCATGCTACTAAAACTTCAAGTCGCTTTTGGAGTCTTGTTGCTGTCCCTCTGTCGCGGGAGGTCTGTCTGTGAGGTGTCCGTGTGGTTTATCTTGCCTGAGTGTGCCCGGGTGTTCTTAGAGCTTTCTGCTACTGAACAGCTCTAAAGAGGTTTTTGAGTTGGATTCTGTCCTCCACAACAGGCCCGATGCACCTAGGTCTCCTTTGACGGGTGGGGCTGGGATGTTCGGAGGTAGGGGAACACAGTTCTGCCTCTACTTCCCCTTGCTGTGACATTGGGCTAGTCATTCCTCAACTTTAAAAATGATGATCCTTTCCAGTTCTCAATATTGTGATTATGAAACAGCTTGAAGAGTTTCTAGTAAACCTTTGGAAGAAGGTAAGACATAGCCACTTTTTGGCTTATTGCAAAAAAATTCACATAACACAATGTATCATTTTAACCGTATTAAAGTGTACGTTTCAGTGGCTTTTAGTACATTCACAGTGTTTGCAGCCATCACCACTATTATAATTTCAGAACATTTGTGTCATCCTCAGAAGACACTTCATGCCCATTAAGCAGTCACTCGCTGTTACCCCCAACCCCCAACCCCCCAGCCCCTGACAACCACTCATCTGCTTTCTGTCTCTGGATTTACCTATTCTGGACATTTCATATAAATGGAATCATATAATACGTGGTCTTTTGAAGACACAGTCTCTTGACTTTTGAGTTTTATTGCAACCTTTACTGAGAGCCTGGCATGAGTCAGTCCGTGGAATAAATGGGGCATTTTATTTGTTTGAAATGATGGGAATTAGGTTTGCAATGAATGAAGAAACCATATAGCCTTTTGCCTTTGTGACTTCTAAAGAGTCCACTCCCAGAAGCACATTGACTTCTGCCTCCGCTCTCCGTATGGCGGTGGCCGCCCGGGCCGTGTGAAGAGGAAGAACGCCAAGAAGGGTCAGGGTGGGGCTGGAGCCGGAGATGATGAGGAGGAGGATTAAGCCCACCGATCCCCTCCTGGGTTGGTGGATTGTCTAGTTTTCCAGTCAGATAATAAAATAAGATCAACACTTCAAAAAAAAAAAAATAAATAAAAAAAATAAAGAGTCCACTCATCTTTTTTTTAAAAAAATTTTCTTATAGATGTGGGGTCTCACTGTGTTGTCCAAGCTAGTCTCAAACTCCTGGCCTCAAGCAGTCCTCCTTCCTTGGCCTCCCAAGTGCTGGGATTACAGGCATGAGCCACTCCACCCATCTAGTTTCTGCTTATCTTTCAAAGAGAAATTTCAGCAGCCCCTTTTCATTTTTTCTGCTGCAGGGTTCATAAGGCTAAGTCACAGTGAATTTGGGCATAAAGACATAAGAAAAGCTATATGGTTTGAAGCTTTCATAATCTTTACTATATATATGTGTGTGTATATATATAGAATATATGTATATTATATGTGTATATAAAAAGAAATAAAAAGAAGGAGAGAAATAATCCTTTAATTATTTTTAAAAATTGTCTCATGCAATTGTGGGGGCTGGCGAGTTCAAAATTTGTAGGGCAGACTGGCAGGCCGGAGACCCAGGAAATAGCTGATGTTGCAGTCTTTAGTGTCATAATTTTTTAAAACAAGTTTTAAATCATTTTTGTACAGGTTAACTATCCCTTATCTGAAATGCTTGTGACCAGAAGTGTTTTGGATTTTAGAATATTTGCATATACATAATGAGCTATCTTGAGGATGGGATTCAAGTCTAAGCATGGAATTCATTTATGTTTCATATTTACACATAGCCTGAAGGTAATTTTATACAATATTTTTAATACTTTTGTGCATGGAACAAAAGTCGAGGCTGCAACCCATACAGCGACCCATCACATGAGGTCAGATGTGGAATTTTTCACTTGCAGTGTCATGTTGATGCTTAGAAAGTTTCAGATCTTGGAATATGTTGCATTTCGGATTTTTGGATTAGAGATGCTCAACCTGTACTTGGAAATCTAAATTTTAACAACGTCTCATGATGGTTAAAATGGTCTGGTTTAACAAGAGGGAAAAAAATATATACACATGTGGAACTGTCCTTTGGTCTGGTTAGAACTATTTACCTTAAACCCAGGTCCTTACCAAGCAATGGCTGGGGAATTCCGAAATGGAAGGAATTTGCAACTCAGAAAAAATGTGTATTGAGCCTGGGAGGGGCTAAACTGTTCCCATAAGGAACTTAGACTCTCCCAAACTAATTAGTTTAATCTGGTGTGTTCAGTGCTGTGATGAATATCAATATAAGCAAAAGGTGCAGCATTGGGGAAAAGAGGAAGCAAGCCAGCCAAGCCTGGGGGTGGGGGGGTGAGGATGGGAAGGTTGAAAAGTGGGGAGCTGGTGGAGAATGGGCAGGGGGTATTGAAGGCAGAGGGGGCAACGTGCTGAGATGTGGCTGTCACTACTTGGGAGTGCCAGAAACAGTGGCGAAGACGTCACAGAGGGGTGCCCTGAGGGGCAGCCTGTGTGTGATACCCCAGGGACAGCCTTGAGGCAGGGCACTGTGTCCCACCAAAGATGTACTCTGTTCATAGAGAACCACAGTGACGCCCCACTACTCAGCCCCTGGTTTCCTGGGCAGTGCCCCCCCCCCCGTGCTGATCTGTCTCTAGAATGGTTCTATCACTGGGCCTCAGTTCTGATCAGCCCCCAGAGTGGACCGAACTTCTCCCTATATCATCCTTTCTTTCTTGGAAAAAGCCTGGGAAATGTTGAATCCTCTGCACGGTGAGCAGTGGTTACCAGCCATCCCCAGCATAGGCGCACATCCATGCCATTGTTTCTTCTGCATTTACAAGGCCAGCAGAAACCACTTTCAGAAGGGCCCTGAAAGCTGCAATCAGTGGATGTCTGCCCTGCCTCAGTGGTAAAAATTGAGTGCGTCTTGGTTGCCTCCAACCACCAGCCCCTCTTTGATTTTTGAAAAGGGATGGTATGCGAGCCCTCGTCCTCAGAGGGAAGTCAGCGGAGCGAGGAGGAAGAACCAGGAGCCGGCAGTGGGGACGGTTCCAGCCGGTTCTCCCTGAGGCTACACCTACACCCAGCACTCCAAGGCTGATGGGGAAATGCAAAACAAGGGCGCAGCCAGACTCCTTCCACCTGTGGAAGCTAGGGTGGCGGAATTTTAACTTTGAGACCTAGTGTGACCATCAGGAAGCTGTCCCTGACCTGAATCCATGAAGACCTTTGAATTTAACCCAGAAAGCTCCTGCAAAGGGATGTTGTATTTCAGATGAATGCACATAGTCCTCAGAGACTGGGGTATCCGTTAGATGTATTTCACAACTGCAGATTCTGGGTAAAAACAAGTCAAACAGATCCACCGTCGGCCCGGAGCTGTGAACTCTCTTCCTTTGCACAGCTAGTGTTCGGTAAAGCCCCACGAGACGCAGCTCATCGAGTGCCTTGCCTGTGACTCTGTCTCAGAATGCCCCAGAGTGTCCATGTGCAGGGATGAGACCATTGTCAAGGTGCAGTACACCTGGCTTTCCTGTGGCTGCATCCAGAGACCAGGGGCGAGGCATTTACACTGATGGGCACAGCAGGAGCTGAGTGCTTCTCAGTGTTAATGTTGACTAAAATACAAAATAGCAGAGAATTAAAAGGACAGCTTGCTTGAGATATTGATTCCTTGCATCATAATGATGGTTTTCGTCTCCCTGGAGAACACTAAACACGGTACAGAGCGTGACTGAACGGCAGGGTGAGAAGCAGTGGCTGCCTATCGTGAGTTGCAACCTGTAAACCATTCACGGTTTACACAGGACTAATTGATTCACACCTGGTGCCATTCTTCCATTCATAAACATTCTCCTTGACTGCTGCAGATGAGTCCGCCAAGCCAGCAAGCCAGCCTTCTTTCATTAGTTCATTCATTAGTTCATTCATTCAGGACATAGGTATGAAATGCCTCCTCTGTGCTGGACTCTGTTTGCTGCTAAGGAGGTGAAAGTGGCCTCCACCTTTACCTTGTCCCCAGGGTGGCAAATGCATTTATGTTCTAACATCAATTCTGTGACCTCAGGTGACCTAAAATTCAGTTCAATTCTGACACTACATGGAATTAGCACAGACCCCATGAGGTAAGGGCTCAGTCCCACAAGACTGCCCCTACTTAGTCACCAGCCACAAGTGGGGCCTCAGGCTCCCCACTTTTCTGCTCAGCCAGCCACAAATTTGGGGTTTCCTATGACCCCTCCCCCCAAGTTTGTCAATTGACCAGAGGACTCACAGAACACAGGAAAAAGCACTTTACCCTTGGGATGGCTGGCTTAGATGAAGAATGCAGATCATAGGCTTGTTTACCACGCTAGAGGCTTGCCTTTCAAGACTCTGCTGAAG